CTTAAAAGTAAGGGTAAATGATGTCAGGGACCAGTGATGGGAAACAATCCTAGCAACATGTTTTACAAAGTGGAGGCTTAGAATATATGAAACAGATGGTAAGGCTAACATATGTTTTCAACGTAAAATGTTGGAGACATCCTTATTGAAGAAACAGGTCCTATTGAGGGGTTTATTTCCAGGTCCTATCCTTGTAGCTGATTTGTTACAGGATGGTAGCTCACATCGATCAATAAATAACACTGTACAATGCTAACAGGTAATTCTACAACAGGTAGTCATGAATTAATGACATTGACGTGGTCTAGTGCATTATTGATAGTGCGTTTGTCTTGGTACACTCGCTGTAGGTAGTATGTTTGTCTAGGTACACTAGCTGTAGATAGTACGTTTGTCTAGGTACACTAGCTGTAGATAGTACGTTTGTCTAGGTACACTAGCTGTGGGTAGTATGTTTGTCTAGGTACATTAGCTGTAGGTAGTATGTTTGTCTAGGTACACTAGCTGTAGGTAGTACGTTTGTCTAGGTACACTAGCTGAAGGTAGTATGTTTGTCTAGGTACACTAGCTGTAGAAAGAACGTTTGTCCAGGTACACTAGCTGTAGATAGTATGTTTGTCTAGGTATACTAGCTGTAGATAGTACGTTTGTCTAAGTACACTAGCTGTAGGTAGTGCGTTTGTCTAGGTACACTAGCTGTAGATAGTACGTTTGTCTAGGTACACTAGCTGTAGGTAGTACATTTGTCTAGGTACACTAGCTGTAGATAGTACGTTTGTCTAGGTACACTAGCTGTAGGTAGTACATTTGTCTAGGTACACTAGCTGTAGATAGTACGTTTGTCTAGGTACACTAGCTGTAGGTAGTACATTTGTCTAGGTACACTAGCTGTAGATAGTACGTTTGTCTAGGTACACTAGCTGTAGGTAGTACATTTGTCTAGGTACACTAGCTGTAGGTAGTACGTTTGTCTAGGTACACTAGCTGTAGGTAGTACATTTGTCTAGGTACACTAGCTTTCGGTAGAACATTTGTCTAGGTACACTAGCTGTATGTAGTATGTTTGTCTGGTTACACTAGCTGTAGGTAGTACGTTTGTCTTGGTACACTAGCTGTAAAGGTAGTACATTTGTCTAGGTACACAAGCTGTAGGTAGATTGTTTGTCTAGGTACACTAGATGTAGGTACTAGGTTTTTCTAGGTACACTAACTGTAGGTAGTACGTTTGTCTAGGAACACTAGCTGAAGGTAGTACGTTTGTCTAAGTACACTAGCTGTAGGTAGTGCGTTTGTCTAGGTACACTAGCTGTAGTAAGTACGTTTGTCTAAGTACACTAGCTGTAGGTAGTACCTTTGTCTAGGTACACTAGCTGTAGGTAGTACGTTTGTCAGGTACACTAGCTGTAGGTAGTACTTTTGTCTAGGTACTCTAGCTGTAGGAAGTACGTTTGTCTAGGTACACTAGCTGTAGGTATTACATTTGTCTAGGTACACTAGCTATAGGTAGTGCGTTTGTCTAGGTACACTAGCTGTAGATAGTACGTTTGTCTAGGTACACTAGCTGTAGGTATTACATTTGTCTAGGTACACTAGCTATAGGTAGTGCGTTTGTCTAGGTACACTAGCTGTAGGTAGTATGTTTGTCTAGGTACACTAGCTGTAGATAGTGCGTTTGTCTAGGTACACTAGCTGAAGGTAGTATGTTTGTCAGGTACACTAGCTGTAGGTAGTACTTTTGTCTAGGTACTCTAGCTGTAGGTAGTATGTTTGTCTAGGTACACTAGCTATAGGTAGTGCATTTGTCTAGGTACACTAGCTGTAGGTAGTGCGTTTGTCTAGGTACACTAGCTGTAGGTAGTAAGTTTGTCTCGGTACACTAGATGTAGGTACTACTTTTGTCTAGGTACACTAGCTGTAGGTAGTACGTTTGTCTAGGTTCACTAGTTTTAGGTAGTAAGTTTGTCTAGGTACACTAGCTGTAGTTAGTATGTTTGTCTAGGTACACTAGCTGTAGATAGTACGTTTGTCTAGGTACACTAGCTGAAGGTAGTATGTTTGTCAGGTACACTAGCTGTAGGTAGTACATTTGACTAGGTACACTAGCTGTAGGTAGTACATTTGTCTAGGTACACTAGCTGTAGGTAGTGCATTTGTCTAGGTACACTAGCTGTAGGTAGATTGTTTGTCTAGGTACACTAGCTGTAGGTAGTGCATTTGTCTAGGTTCAATAGCTGTAGGTAGTACGTTTGTCTAGGTACACTAGCTGTAGGTCGTACGTTTGTCTAGGTACACTAGCTGTGGGTAGTATGTTTGTCTAGGTACACTAGCTGTAGATAGTGCGTTTGTCTAGGTACACTAGCTGAAGGTAGTATGTTTGTCAGGTACACTAGCTGTAGGTAGTACATTTGACTAGGTACACTAGCTGTAGGTAGTACATTTGTCTAGGTACACTAGCTGTAGGTAGTACATTTGTCTAGGGACACTAGCTGTAGATAGTACATTTGTCTAGGTACACTAGCTATAGGTAGTACGGTTGTCTAGGTACACTAGCTGTAGGTAGTGCGTTTGTCTGGGTACACTAGCTGTAGGTAGTGCGTTTGTCTAGGTCCACTAGCTGTAGGTAGTACGTTTGTCTAGGTACCCTAGCTGTGGGTAGTATGTTTGTCTAGGTACACTAGCTGTAGGTGTAGGTAGTGCGTTTGTCTAGGTACACTAGCTATAGGTAGTGCGTTTGTCTAGGTACACTAGCTGTAGTAAGTACGTTTGTCTAAGTACACTAGCTGTAGGTAGTACGTTTGTCTAGGTACTCTAGCTGTGGGTAGTATGTTTGTCTAGGTACACTAGCTGTAGGTAGTGCATTTGTCTAGGTTCACTAGCTGTAGGCAGTGCGTTTGTCTAGGTACACTAGCTGTAGGTAGAACGTTTGTCTAGGTACACTAGCTGTAGGTAGTACGTGTGTCTAGGTACACTAGCTGTAGGTAGTACGTTTGCCTAGGTACACTAGCTGTAGGTAGTATGTTTGTCTAGGTACACTAGCTGTAGGTAGTGCATTTGTCTAGGTACTCTAGCTGTAGGTAGATTGTTTGTCTAGGTACACTAGCTGTAGGTAGTGCATTTGTCTAGGTTCACTAGCTGTAGGTAGTGCGTTTGTCTAGGTACAGTAGTATGTTTGTCTAGGTACACTAGCTGTAGGTGTAGGTAGTGCGTTTGTCTAGGTACACTAGCTATAGGTAGTGCGTTTGTCTAGGTACACTAGCTGTAGATAGTACGTTTGTCTAGGTACACTAGCTATAGGTAGTACATTTGTCTAGGTACACTAGCTGTAGATAGTACGTTTGTCTAGGTACACTAGCTATAGGTAGTACATTTGTCTAGGTACACTAGCTGTAGATAGTACATTTGTCTAGGTACACTAGCTATAGGTAGTACGGTTGTCTAGGTACACTAGCTGTAGGTAGTGCGTTTGTCCAGGTACACTAGCTGTAGGTAGTGCGTTTGTCTAGGTTCAATAGCTGTAGGTAGTACGTTTGTCTAGGTACACTAGCTGTAGGTAGTATGCTTGTCTAGGTACACTAGCTGTAGGTAGACTTAAGGGAATGTCTTGATGTAGAATTGAGCAGTGACACATGGAAGACTTCATCTGTGATTAGGATATTTGTGCTTTAGGAAAGTTAAGACTTAGTGGTAAGACATTTGCCTGTGATATAGGATCTCTGTTACAAGGAAGCGGTAGAAGGATGTTTGCCTCTGATATAGGATCTTACTAGGATCTCAGTTACAAGGAAGGTGTCAGTAGGATGTTTGTTGCCTGGGATATAGGCTCTAAGTGACAAGGAAGGTGTCAGTAGGATGTTTGTTGCCTGGGATATTGGCTCTAAGTGACAAGGAAGGTGATAGTAGGATGTTAACTGGGATATAGGCTGTCAGACGTGACAAGGAAGATGGTAGTAGGATGGTGGTTGTCTCGTATATCGGTTTCGCCTACAAGGAAGGTGGTAGTAGGATGGTTGTCTGGGATATAGGATCTCTGGGATATAGGATCTCGCCTAAAAGGAAGATAGTAGTAGGATGTTAACGGATATAGGTTCTCAGTGACAAGGAAGGTGGTAGTAGGATATAAACTGGGATATAGGCTGTCAGTGACAAGTAAGGTGGGAGAAGCATGGAAACTGGGATATAAGCTGTCAGTGACAAGGAAGGTGGTGGAAGGATGTAAACTGGGATATAGGCTGTCAGTGACATTTAGGAAGGAGGTAGAGGGATGTAAACTGGGATATAGGCTGTCAGTGACAAGGAAGGTGGTAGAAGGATGTAAACTGGGATATAAGCTGTCAGTGACAAGGAAGGTGGTAGAGGGATGTAAACTGGGATATAGGCTGTCCATGACAAGGAAGGTGGTAGAGGGATGTAAACAGGGATATAGGCTATCAGTGACAAGGAAGGTGGTAGAATGATGTAAACTGGGATATAGGCTGTCAGTGACAAAGGAAGCTTAAGGTGGTAGAGGGATGTAAACTGGGATATAGGCTGTCAGTGACAAGGAAGGTGGTAGAAGGATGTAAACTGGGATATAGGCTGTCGGTGACAAGGAAGGTGGTAGTAGGATATTTGCTTGGGATATAGAATCTCAGTAATGAGGAAGTTAGTAGAAATAGCATTTTTTTTTACACATTTGAAACTTGGCGACAGGGAAGGTGGTAGGACTTTATTCTTTGTTCATGATCAGTGACAAGAAAAGTAGTAGAACAACTCCCCTGGGTATTGGATCCAGTAACAAGGAACAAAGTAGTTAGATGCTTGCCTTGGGATTTGAATTTGGTCTTAGTGATAAGATACCGAATGATAAGCTTTTGTACTAGGTATTGGATGTTGATGAAAAAGGGGTAAGACTTTTGTCTTAGGTTATTAGAAGTGAGGAGATCTTGTATCCTGAAATAATCAACACAAACTAAATGTTCTATGACTGATATTAACTGGCTGTTTGTATTATGTCTTTGTAGATAGAAGATCAGAAACACAACCCTAATGATAGGGATTTTGATGGTGCCACTCCTCTCCATTTCGCTGCCAGTAGAGGTCACTACAAGGTCATTGATTGGCTTATGAAGGAAGGTGGGGCCAAGGTCACACTAGACAACCTCGGAGGAAGTCCTCTACATAACGCTGCAGAACTTGGTCAATTAAAGGTAAATTGAAGAAAATGCATGTCATTACCATAGAATAAGGATGAATCAGTGACAAATTCACATGCCAGTCCAAAGTCTTATATCCTTAAATTTTGATGGGACGCATAGAATCATAGTATGAGGTCAATGTTTAGGTTCAGTAAGAACTATATTTACTATATTTTAACGACTAAAGCTACCATTTTAAAACTTTGGTATCTCAATCATTGTTTCATTGTTTTGAAGTGTGTATATGAATATTCCTAGATTTGTCCTTATTACAAGTGTAACTGAATAAGAAAGTATCTTTTCTCTTGGAATCCCGGTTGCTACACCCTTTTTGCTGATCTAATGTTTGAAGTAATATACAGGCCAATGCATGATCAGGATATATACATTTTTCTCTCATTTCCATGTGTGTAACATAGAGCTGTCCAGGGTAAGAAAGGTGTAGGAAATTTCTATCTTACACCTTCGATTTCACATGATGTGACGTCACAATGGCTCCACAATGACGTGACTTCATGAATTTGGAAAATTCTGATGCTGCAATGCGGAAAAGGCGATGTGATGAAATTAAAACTGTTTACAATATATTGACAGTACAAATTAGAAAGATGATACCAATATTTCAGTGCAAACTATGTTTGCAAATATGGGGTAGGCTTAATCTGACTGACTGATCTGTTTCGTAAAAACTCAGGGGAAAAACTGATATTTTTAAAACTCTTTCATGCTCAGAGGTGAAGGATAGGGAAATTCCACCCGAGGGATTTTCAAATTTGGTAAAACCCAAGGCTGGGCATGAAAGAGTCTTATAATATTCAAATTATAGTGTATTTCCTTACCAACTGCTAAACAGGTTAAAATATAAGCACTTGGTTGTCAGTCGTAATATGATTGAAAGGGTAACCACCATTATATCATAATATGAACCTTACAAGTGTACAGTTTTAGTAATGATGATGGTCTCACACAGTATTCATTCATATGAGAAAGAAACAAATATGCACTTTTTCTTAATGGAATCCATATATGGGTATTTCTTTGCTATTTCTTTTCAGCCTGTTGTCAATATAAAATTTCACGCTATTGATAATCAAAGAAGGAAGTACCATCATTGAGAAGAGTGTTTTTGAAAGTCATGGTGAATGGCTTTAATTTGTATTCATAATTGTATATGCAGCTAGAGTTTCGGTGAAATTAAAAAGCAGGAAGAATAATTGTGGTACAACTTACGGTAAACATTTGATAAAATTTGATAAGAAGAATTACTTAAACATATGGTCATGGACATAATGGTAACACATTTATATTTACTTTCTCATAGCAATACTGTAATACCAAAAATCTCTTTGGATTCAGAGCACAATTGGTACAATTGGATTGGATTATAGTGCATGGTTGTGACATCTTTATTAAATATAACAGCAAAGTTCTGTATATTTTGTTTTTGCAAAGTATTTAGAGCTTTATTTCCCTTTTATGAAGTTTTGTGAACTTGGTCCTTCCTCGAGCGCTGACTGTAACAGTCGTTCCACAGTTGAAGCACTTTGAGAAATTTTATCTTTCTGTCGGTATATAATAAGTAGGTCACTAAAAAACTTTCTGTCAAATGTACTTATCCTGGCTATTTGTTAAAGTGGCCTTTTAATTAAAAGCGATCTTTCTGTCACTATAATACACTAGATCTCCATTTGAAGTACTCTTGTGGGAGTCTTTTAACACTAACAATAGAACATCTAGACTTATTTTGATTGGTTATCAGATCAGCACTATGTGATAAGTTGTGTCGATTGGTCCTGTGACAGCTTTATACCTGCTAATCTATCGGTCCCAATCACTTTCTTTTGTGTTCAGTATTTTTACAGGTACAGTCTTACCTGGAGCAATTCAATAGCATAACAATACGTACAACATAGATAAAACAGTATTTTATAGTCACTGATGTTACATAGTTATATACAGGTAATTATCCGTCTATCAAATCTTGAAGGTATTTACAGTACAATGTCTGGGAATGTTCACAAGTAGTAGAAGTATATCTCCACTGCTAGGATAAACAGCTGATCACATTGGTGAGTTAGACAAGTATTTATTGGCATTATATTTTAATACAACAAATGAATGAAAAATCTGATGAATGAACTTATATAATCAGTAACTACTGAATCATTGAATCAATATACAAGTAGCAATAATTGATGGAATGAAGAATGAATTGAGAATTTATATACTTGGAACTCTTTGCTCCAATTAGTGTGTGGATTGCAAGATAGCTGGGTTTCTTTGACAGTTTGTGTACACAAGGCTAATCTGTCTACTACAATATATGATACAACCAGATCAAACGTGCCTGGAACTTGAACTTGAACTGGATTAAAGAAGCTTGACCATAATTCATTGAATTAAATAATTGATGATCGACAGTGACTGAGATGAATAACATTCTAATTTAAATTACAACAAAGCATATGTATGCAGATTTGTCCTAACGGTAGCTGCATGCCGGTGCATACTAGCCAAATCACCTGCATTTCTACATGCCATGCAGTTGACCTCTTTGCCCTTCACAGGTTGTAACGTATGTGGAATCTCCTGCATTCATACTTTTTTTGTAGCTTTCAATATCCCTTTCTATTAGGTATAATAAACGATTTAAACACCTCATATTTGTATGACATAAGGATTTGTCTCCCCTTGACAGGTAATACAGCCCTTGGGTGTTGCCCTTGGGTAATATTACCTGTCTATGGTAGACGGATCCCCATGTCACAACGATATATAGTTGTTAATTGTATAGTTGTTCATCTCCTCAGGTGTGATGTAACACCTACGTCTTCAAATGACCTTGGCTGTTGCAAGGAAGTTAAACAAACAAAAGTAATGTAACATTTCACTGTGGTACATCTCCTTTGGACTGAAATTCAAGCATGATCTTGTGATGAATATATTTATTTTTCTATACACTCCACAAAATTGTAAAATTATTTATTTTTGGTCTTTATACAATTGATTAACATTTGTAATCATTCAAATTTGATAAACCTTTTAACTTTGAGAAGACAGGTGCGCTTACTTGAATTCAGCAGTTTCATTAACAGGAATTTATCTGTTAAAGATAACTCAGCACACGCATTGCTTTAATTTTCTATCCATCATATTTACAAAAATATTGAAATAAATTCTTAACTGGAAATGAATATGTAGGGATTCATTTAAATGGTTTGAAGTTATAAGCCTTTGGTAGCAGAGCTGAAGACCATAGCAACCACTCCTAATCAAATAGCAAAACTTCTATGAGTTTGTGGTAAACAGGTTATTTGTTGTGTATAGGTAAAAATATTTTTTCTTTGAAAAATATATTTTGCGTGTTATTTTAGAAACAATTATATGTGTGGTTAGATTACTGAGGAATATATTACAAGGATGAGAAAAAAGATTAATGAATGATGCAGAAAGGCCAGAGTGGATTAGTCCGAGCCCCCCGACAGTACAATCAGAATACACTACGTACAGGTTTTCACTCCCTCCAGAACTTCCTCTGGGGGTATCTGATTTACGCTGTAATCTACGTACAATAACCATTATTATATGTCTACCTCTTGCAATGGCAGTGTTTATTCTGAAATCTGGTCTCATGCTGCACTATTTGCAGAGTTATGGCCCTTGAATTATTGTTTGTGCCACAGAAGTCCAGAAGGAGGGAATAGGGATTGGGGCTATGGATTGCCTGCAACACTTTGTCTTGTTTTCCAACATTTTTGAATATGGGGCTGCATATTCCACTAAAGCATACACTCATGTTCATTGCTGATTATATCTATTCTACCATTCCAAAAGTCTGTCTTTGCCTAACTTAAGAAATATACTGGCTTTACTTATATGATGGATTAGATTCCAAACAATGTTGCATGTGAACATTTTATTTGAGCACATGCAATGGATGCATGCATCAAATAAAAATAATCCATTATTGTTGACAAATGAAAACAATGAATTGCCAATATAATAGATTAGAATAAGTGTTGTTTAATAGCTGTTTAGTTGGAACAACTTTACTTTGCCTATTTCAACCATGGGAAAAATGTACAATTTAAACTGATCATGGCCAGAGAAGGCCAGTGGAGCTAACAGATTGTTATAAGTTGTAACAGTCAAGTGTTAAAAGCTTTCGTTTATACTGTAACGCTTTACTGTAATGTTACGACCATCAACACATCCTTTAAAGGTTCAATGAATTAAGATGTATCATAAAACTGGTTTGAAAGGTTGATTAAGGATGATGAATCCTCTCTGTAGTAGCTAGCTATAATTGATCATGATGTTAAACCTGGATCTATACAAAGTTTTGACAGATTATAAATAAACTGTTCATCACATTATTTGGGATAGAAAGGATCAGATATAGGGCAAAATTATGAAGCTCAGAGGAGGAATTATGTGGCCAGATTTTATGGATGATATTTTTTTTTATCTCAGAAATGTCGTAATTGATGAATAAAAGTTTTAATCTATTTGTAACAATTAAAAAATAAATGCTTACCTGCATGGTGCCTTACACTGATTTTATCTTCAAGTTCAGACGGTCTTCAGTGAGAATAATGTATTTTGAAATTCAATATCAAGTAATATATATGTGTGTAAAATAGAACTTAAAAAGGAAAAGTACAGCTAGTGAGATCAATGAAATCAATGAATGAGAAATCCAACCTGTGATACGATATTAAGTTTTGATGTTTGGGAGATAAAGAGATAAAACCTTTCTGTGTTGTCAACTCGGAGAAGTACTTTTTCTTTCAGATCTGAGCACCAATAGCAAGCAAGTTGTTTATCTTGTAATTGATCCATCTTCTGGTTCAGAATAAACTTGAGCACACCTGCTAAATGCAAGTTAAGATAATCGTTACTTGCAACTTTCTGCTTATAGCTTTTTCCCATTGTCTATTCACATATGTCCTAAAATAATGTTCACTTGATTCTGCTCTATAACTCAATGTTTTCTATTTTTTGTGCCTAAT